AGATCCTTACTAATATGTGTGAAGAAGAAAGGACAAAGATGCTGTGTGTTGCATTTCCCACAACCAGCTGGGGCTTTTAGTACAATGGGACAGATAAGGGATAGAGCTAAAAGCATTACAGGGTATGGTGGGAGTGTAATATATGAGCGCAGACTTGACTGCCTCAACTCCTTATCTCGAAGCAAGGTCAGGTAACCAGTCGGGAGGGGCAACTGGGGGTTGTGGGGTGGAGGTAAAACACTAGAAGACCAGAGAAATGCCTGCTCCTGACCAGAGCACAACCTCACTCCTTACCCCAAGGGGTACAAAAGGGGTGGGATGAAGACCCCGACGCACAACCCTCCAGAACGGAACATGACCATAAGTTTTAAGGGGTGTGACTTGGGGTGTGCATTGCAGGTATATTTGGACCTGCTAAAAAGAAGGAGGGGGAGCGGTAATGATAATGGTCATGGGGGAATGGGGGACTGGGAACAGGGGAATGAGGAACAAGGACACAGGCAAGGCTCTGCAGCGTCAGAGCTGGGAAGGGGGACACGGGGTAAATTCTCTGCGGCATCAGAGCTGGAAACAGAACACTGGGAAGAGGGAGCTCCGTTGGTGTGTGGAGCTAGGGGTTAGAAGAAGAAGGGGTTCTATTGATGTATAGAACTGTAGTCGGGGGGGGGAGGGGGAAGGGGAAAACTCTATCAGCGTGAAAATATAAGCCTGACTGATGTGAAGGGCTTTGAAATATGTTTGCTTGGATCTAAACCCCAAGAAACATCGCATTGCCTCCACTTCGGACTTCTGCTTTCTATCTGTGTGACAAGAATCAGGGAAGAGGGTGAAGGGAAAGGCCTCTAACAAGCACCCTGAGGGCTGAACCCACCCCTCAACCACCAGAGCCCTCCCCTGGGCTCTGGCAGGGCTGGCTGGTCTCACAGGGCAGCAGGAATAATGGACGATGCTACAGAAGCTTCTCATAGACAAGGGTGTGGGGAAGTTCAGACGCTGTTGGAAATTGTAGTGGGGTGGAGTGGAGTGCAGGAGGGGAACAGGCTGCCATCTGCAGGGTTGCAAAGTCTTATGGCATTTGCTGTTTCCCTTAAAGCCCCAGCTCCTGGAGTCCTGGGATTGTGGGAGAATATCAGCTTTGCTTTAAAACAAATAAAAAGTCAGTCTCTAGCCTACGGCTGTGGTGTGGAGCTGTAAAGTATGACCCGAATGCCCCTGTGTGTAGTGTCTGGCTTTACTGCTGGGTGTGCTGCATTTAAACCCTAGGGCCTGGCTGTTGGTTTATGACAGGTTGTGATGGGATCCAGCAGCAAATGGGGTGGTGGGGAGCCCTGGGAAGTGCTGCCCACAAAGGCTGGGTCCACACTAGGTGAAAGGTGTGTGTGCGTGAGCTGGCTGGGCCAGGCAGTGCTCCTGGTGTCAGATCCTAGTGGAGGAAAAGCTGCCATGGTGCCGTTGGCATTTTATCTCCCTGTAGCTGGTGGAGGTGAACTCAAGAGAGGCAATAGGATTCCTGGTGCAGGCGGGACACTGGCTGCCATGGGTATGGGGGCGAGGGGATCTTAGAGGAACAAATGAAAATCAGTGGGTTTGATGGGTTTGGAGCTGCCCTGTAATAATCTCTGAACATTGTCTGCTTTGTTTGTCTGACTGTTGTGTGTGTGTGGGTGGGGGGGGAGTTGTCACTACATCAACACAAGGGGTTAATTTAAACAGGGGTTGGAAAACACTGCAAGGGGTCAGGGACACTGCAGAGCCATCCACTGTGAAGTCCCCTCCGGCCCCCTGCTGAGCCACCTGGCCATTAACCAGGCTCAGGGACACAGGAGGGAACAGAGACCTCGGGCTGCAGTGACAGACACAGTGAAGTATGTGGAGGGGACAGGCAGAGACTGTGGGAAGAGACAGACGCAGCCCCATAAGTGAGGGCCTGGGGTAGGACAGGCTGCCTAGGTCTAGGGATGGGGTAGACGTGCAAGGAGCCTGTTACTGTGTTAAACCCTGTTCTCTGGCTGTGCCTGGCTCCTGCTGTTGAGATCAAACAAGACTTTGTGGAAGAAGGTGTTTGAGTCACTGCAATCACTGCTGGTCATAGCTCCAGTGGGTGGAACCACAGGTACCAAGTGCAGTCGGTCCTGCTGGCAGGGGTGAGCACCATCAGTACACAGAGGCCTGAGGGGTCACCCAGAAAGGGCACAGAGGAACTGCTAACCTCTTAATTGTGACATTAGGTTTGTGCAATAATCCAGCGAGAGCTGCCAGGAAAGTGGGATTTTCCTGGGAGAATTTCCTCAGCAATAATCCTCATGCGAGATGTTCCCATTGGACTCTCCATATTTCCCGGGGAGGGGAGTAACAACTTTCCCATGCTTTGGTTACTGGTTTCTAGTTGTCTCAGGAAGAAGGGGTGACAGCATTTTATATCCCCCTGTGACATTACTGACATGAACTGTGACTGTATAGATCATTGTTGCAACCAAGGTCCTATAGTTGCACCAAATCTTGTACAAAAGAGGTCAGGTAAGGTGTCTATGAAAATGTTATAATTTTCCATATATGATAATCTTGTTTATATCTTTGTATCACCTTTGTATTATCAGTTTACTGGTTATGATTATGCTGTCTATATGTGTATTATCAGTTATAGATAAGTCTGTATGTCTGTATTTCAAACTTGTGCTATGCTTCTGGGTGACACCCCAGGCACCTCCAGCTCTGGCATCAGCTCTGCCTAGCCTGCTTGATGGCCCATTAAGGACCATCAACTATACATCTGACCTATTGAGAGAAGGCAGATACACCTTATGACTCAGCAAGGCAGGCAGGGACATGCCTATGGAGAGAACTCTAAGGCCTCCAAGCTATGTGCTGGGCAGCTTGTGTTTGGGACAAAGGAAGCCCAGGCCACA